AAAAATTAACCTATTATAACTGGTAGGAATGAGAGAGCTAGATTAATTTTATGGGACTTATTGTCCAATAGATCCCGTGATAATTAACGGTATTTTTTATCAAACATTATTAAAAAAAAATCAATAATTGTTAATTTTCAACGACAACTTGAAAATTTTGTTACAAAAGAGTTACTAATTATAAACTTTAGCGATAGTTTAAAAAATTGTCACTAATTTTCAATTTTCAGTGATAGTTTGAAAAATTCGTCACAAAAAAGTCACTAATTGTAAGTTTTAGCGACAATTTATAAAAGTGTGATAAAAAAAAGTCACTAATTGTTAGTTTTTTAGAGACATTCAAAAAATCGTTACAAAAATTTATTTACAGCAATGATTTTACTAGGACTACTTTTCTATAGGACTTAATAAGAATTAAATCTAATTATGAGGACCTATTGGTAATTTACCCTAAATTTATTTTATTTATGAGAAATCATAAGAAAATATAAATAAACCTCCAGATTTGACCTTTGTGCAAAATAAATTCTAAATTTTTTATTTTATTAATTTAAATCATAATCTTTTAATTTTTTTAATCTAAATCATTCGCATATTTTCATCAAGTAAAATCAATGAAAAAATTGTATTTTAACCATTAAATTTAATATAAGTGTATATAAAATGTCTAAAATGTATTTTTTTTGTTGAGTTTAATTACTAAAATATCCTTTTTCATCTATTTTAGTTAACGAAAACAAAAAATAGCTTAGATTAAAAACAAATTCAAATTAAAGTTTAAATTGATAAATTAAAAATTAAAAGTTTATTTTGTTATTAGAGTCAGGATTTTTTTTTTTTGGTTGTAATTTCCTTTTATTTTTTTAGATGTTTAAAGTGCTTGAGGCTAGTTTGCAAAATAGAGCAAGCCTTCATCAAAATCATAGAAAGAAAAGAAGAAGCAACATCTTTCATCCAAATCCTTGGATAAACATGACACAAGGCTTTTTAGCTAAACAATTAGCAACATTATTCTGCTTTCTGAAAACATGGAAAAATTATTAGATGATCTAAGCACATTACATGGGTCTAGTCTCTATCAATCACCAATACTTCCGTTTTGTTTTCAGAGATAGAATAGAGATGATTGATAGTAAGGGAATTAATAGTGAGAAATTATTAAATTATTTTTATATAAAATAATAAAACAAATAAAAAATATAAAAATTAAACATTAATATTTTAAAAAAAATTCCCAATATATAAAAAATAAAAAATAAAAAAAATTTATAATCCCCTCACTATTTTTTTAATACCATCTCTACCTCCTCACTATGAATCTCCCTTCCAAAGGTATTAGTAATACCAAGGTATTAGTAGTCTCAAGGAAATCTCTCAAAACAAACAAGGTATTAGTAATACCAAAGTATTAGTAGTCTCAATCCCCTTTCTATAACTCCAAATAAACGGGACTTAAAATACTACTTAACCGTGCCTAGGACTAGGTAGATAAGGGCAACCAAGTGGTGTCGACAACGAGGTTACACCTACTTGTGTGCAATGACTTAAAATTAGGGTTGAATATGGTTAAAAGGTTCAAAATGAGGGGATTAAGTGGCGTGAATTAAGAAAAAATAATAAATGTGTGTGAACCTAATAATACTGTGAATTGAAAGAATGTAAAGTATGCAATTTGATGCTCACAAGCATGTCATCATTATTGTTCCAAAAGTCTAAAAGTAAAAGTTGATAGGTTCATGAAAGCTGGACCTTTCTATTTTCCCAAATAAGTAAAACCCTGGAATCCAAACTCTCTTCATTAGGGGAAATTCTATAATACAACTCAATTTCAGGAGTCTAGATCTTTCGAAGTATTTTCTTGCTGTGCATTTTGTATTGCACCAACAAAATGAGATCGTTTTGGTGCTCAAAACCCTCCCCTCCTCAAAAAAAAAAAAAAAAAAAAAAAAAGAAAGAAGAAGAAGAAGAAGAAGAAGAAGTAATAATAATAATTTGGAAGAGAGAAAAGCAAAGAAGCATCAACATCTTCCACTCTTTCGTCAACCTTTAGGTTCGTTTGTTTTGGGGTTAAATAAATGAAAGGAATTAGGATGGAGGTAAGTTATTTAGTTGTTGTTTATTTGTAGAGTTGAGGAGGGGATTAAGATGGAGGAGGTGATATAGATGGAGGTTGGAAGGGAGATTGAGATGGAGGAGGTGGAGATGGTATTAGAAAAATAGTAAGGGGATTATAAATTTTTTATTTTTTTTTTTTTATTTTTTATATATTGGGAATTTTTAAAATATTAATGTTTATTTTAAATTTTTTTATTTGTTTTATTATTTTATATAAAAATAATTTAACAATTTCTACACTAATAACTATTATCAAAACAAACACAATTTTACTTAATCCCTTCACTATGAATCCCCTCCATTCTACCTCTGAAAACAAACGGGGCCTTATTTCTAGCAGCGGCCAACCCTTCCTCTTCTTTTTCCCTCCTCTCCCTGACCAAACCCCTTCTGTGCCATCAACACCACTTTCGGCGACCTACCCACTCTTCCCAACAACTCTTAAGATTCATTTCCTCTCCCCAGCTTACCCCCAGATCCGCCTCCTCTCCCCACCATTTTCATAGCTTCCCTTGTCTATTCTCCATCGCTCTACTACCCTCACCTACTTGCTCTCTCTCTCTCTCTCTCTCTCTCTCTCTCTTTCTTACACACACACACGCACGCACACACGCGCGCACACACACACACAATCACAATTGCAATCTGTTGTGGCGGAGGATGCAAAGTGGTGGTGGCGATGACGATTGTGGCATAAGAGTTTTTTGACAAGGTATGAAAGCGGAAGGTCTCAACGCAAACCCTAGATCTAGGGTTTCATATCGTAAAAACCCTAGATCTAAGGTTTGGGTTAGAGATGGTGCAAGAGTTGTGGTGGTAGCCAGAGCAAAGACGAATGGGAAGAGGGAAGGAGAAGAAGAAAGAAGAGAAAAGAGAGGATATCTTCAGAGCTGTGTTGTTTCCCTTCCCATGGTGTGATCGAAGTCGCCGAAGGTGGTATTGGTGGCAACTAAGGCAGTGGAAGAGAGAAAGGGGAAGATGATGAGTGGGCGGTTGGTAGAAACGAAGGTTGTTGGAGAAAGCATGGGGCTGCCAGTGATGCTCTATTCCTTTCTTCTCTCTTAGCTTCTACTTTTCTTTTCTTTTTCTTTTTATTATTATTTTTTTTAGAAAATTTTGCCTCAAAATAATTTTGTTTTAGGGTACTACAGGAACCACTACAGAAAAGCACTATAGAGGATCCGGAGTCCTATTTTAGAGTATGTACCATCGAGTCTACATCCCCTCGAGTACTAGTGGTGTAGTGTGATATGTAGTTCTTTTGCTAAGAGTGCGCCATGTCAAAAGTCAGAGGAATGGAAGGTTGAGATCACTCGTACCAAAAACAATGCGTTTTTGTTTGTTTGTTTTTGTTTTTGTTTTTTTTTTTCACGTTGAAGCTGAGAGAGAAAAAAAGACAAAAGACACCACCAAAGCTACTCTCTGATGACCCTCACCAACACGACCACCTTCGACCTCCTCTTGCCTTTCGCACCAGCTTTGGTCAATCCCAATCTAGTGCCACCGTCGCAAGCCCCCTTCTCTCTCTTTCTCTCTCTCTTGATCTGTATCTAGCTACCACCGCCTAGCCACCATCATCGGTTGCACAGTCCACGCTTATCCCAACTCTAGCAATCTTTCCCAACCCATCCCCGCCCTATGCCATTGCTGCCCAGCTACCACTGTCGCGAGCCTCTTTTCTCTCGATTCTCTTTATCGCCACTAAAAACCCTAGATCTAGGGTTTGCGCCAATTGTGCGAGGAAGTGGATGAGATGAGGAGAAGAGGAAGGGGAATGGAAAGTAGATTGTAGTGGTGTGTTGGTGTTGTTAATGGGAGTTGAAGAGAAAGGAGAAGGAGGATGAGAAGAAAAAAGATAGGGTTTTTAGATTATGGTAGTGCAACGGTGGTGTTGGTGGCAATTGAAGCAAAAGCCGATATAAAGGGGGAGGGGAAAAATAAAGAAGAGAGAGGAAGCATGGAGGGCTTGGGGGTCATTGGAGCTAATGCACTAAACCATAGAGGATTTGGACTGATGTAGCACATGTTTAGTTATAATATTTATTATTTAGTTATGCCTTATTGTAATGTGGTTATTATGAATCCCCCCCCCCTACATAGTTATGATGGATGATTGTCATTACATCATTTAACTGTTGTAAAATAATTATGCAAATTTTAGCATTATTTCAAATTAAAGAAAAGTCAATCCAACCATATGTGATCTTTTTCACTACTATTGGATGGTCCGATATAATGAAGATGATTTCAATCTCCCCATTTCAACTTAGAACTCCCTCGACCAAAAATAAAAATGAAACAAAACAAAAATATATTTTCTATTTTACAGAAACAAGAAACATGTAAACCAAACAATCCCAAATGGCGACGTTGGGGCTTCCCAAATTTCCTACTAAAACAATCTCAAATGCTCAGCCACTTCCTTCAAGGTCCAACACCCACCCAAAAATATATGCACACCGTAGGAGTTCATTTTTTTTAAAAGAAACAAAAAAAAAAAAAAAAAAAACACAATCAAGCCTTTTTAAAGCGTATTTCTCAAATTTAAGCCTTTTCAAATTCAAATATTTTTTTTGAAGTGTGTTAATTTAAATTTGAGAAATAAATTTAAAAATACCTCCATTTGAGAAATATTTTTTTCAAAAAAAAGCAAAGTTAAAAAATCCGAGTTATTTACAAACTCGATTACTTCAATTTCTGCATGTCTCATGTTTCTCTACATAAAATCATTGCTGCAGATTTATCCTAATTATGATCTGATAAGGAATATAAGTCAAAACCATCTTTTTATATTTCCCACGATCTTATAGGTGAAAACTTGAGAAAAAATGGCTCCACAAGCACAAGTCAGTTGATCTCCAACTGCTGAAGCTGAACCAACGAAAAATAAGCTCACACAAGGAATTCACTAGGTTCATGGGTAATCCAACCCAAATTAGGGCCCACCTCATACAAGTGCAAAACTTCAACAACCTAAGCTTCAAGAGATACCCTAATACCTAAGCCCCTATTTTAAAAACAAAATAACATGGTGACAATATCTGCAGCAAAGACAACTCAACCCTTGCTCCTAAATTAAAAGGATGCTTCCTCGAATGAACGAGTAACGATTTATTGCAGCCTAGGCGATTACATGAAAAATGCATACAGAATTGAGGCCCAAGTACAGTTACATAAGTACACACATCAGAAAATGATGCAAACTGACAGCCTCGGACCGACATCGACAAGTTGCGTGCACAATAGACTGAAAATAATTGTTGCTCCATGCAGTTCTGGGCACAACTATGTCTTCAATGGACAATCAAGTGCGAGATTATTTACCCACAAGAACAGAGGACCACAGATGCCTGAGCTAATCCTTGCCACGGCAAAACCAGAGGTTGAAGCAACAATTCCTCATCTTTCAATCAAGATGCACTTCCATTCACAACCAGAAAATGAGTGTCCCAGCTAGAGTTGAGGTACAAATTGACAAACTGTACACTTCGGCTGCATTCATAATGTACGTACTTGGTTCGTTCTTCAATGCAAATATCATCTCGGAGTCAATCTGTCTCTCCCAGCCTGAGCCTGCACATAATATTAAGACATCTAAAAAATAATTACAAAAGATAAATGATTAAACATCATACAGAACACTTTAAGCGCTAATAGGTTTGCTCATCTGGTCTTTCAGGAGGTAAATTAGCCGGTAAAAATTGAGCACGATTGAACAGTTTCATGCCCTTCCCACATTTGTATAATTATGATCAATTTTTTAGGACACAAATTCAATACCCAATTACCAGAATAGTACTTTGAGCATGAAGTGGTTTTAGGCAACAAATGTATGTGCCCCTACACATCCCAACTAAACAAGAAAATTATGATCAAATTTGTACATGGCATTTAACATCAGTCCTTGTCAACTTACAGAATATAGATCATTTACTTTTATTTGTCGGCTTGGCAACCACTGATTTGAGTTCCGAAAATAATTACTACTACCATTGGTAAACAATTACAAATTGTTAGTTTGTTACTCAAGATATGCTCAAGACATTACCTGAGTTGCATATACTGCGCTTTCTGCCAGGTACTTGACAAACTCCTGCTTTTTCATTTCAAAATTAATCCTCATATTGTCCAGTAATGCTTGTTCTCTCTGCGTATCTTCCAGAACTCTCTCTTTTTTCCATTGCATCTCCTTTATCCGCTTTTCAGTTTCAAAATAGTTTGCAGGTTGTTTTGAGGCCCCGTGGCTTTTGGGGAATTTTACATCTATGCCTTCCCTTATATTCAGATAGATTCAAAAGGAACAATGCAGCAGCAGGAACAAAGATCAAAATTGTAATTAGACTTGACAGTTTCATCAAGAAAAATAACACAAACTTATTTGATGCAATATAAAGATCATAAATATATGCAAGGGAAAAAGGTTCAAATTGTTAGAGATAACACCAGCAGGAAGAACATTTGAACAGAAACGAAAATTTGCTAGAATGACAGGAAAATTTCTTTTGGACAGCCATAACGAGTTTAACCTTACAGACCAAATGCAGATTGAACATCAGCTAGTGGCTGAAAGAAAATCACATGGATTGCAACTATCCTCAGAATCCTGAACTTTTGAAGGGAACAAAGACATAGTTGGCACATCATAAATATTCTATTTGTCAAAAAGCAAGGGAGGATATTTCAACCACCTTAGTTGACAACACAACAGAACTTCAGAAAGTGGTCTTAATTTCAAAGACGCATTAGAAGTAAATCATAAACATTCCTTAGATTTGCAACAAATCATAAAATTTCGAAGAGGAGAATATGGGGGGGAGTTTATTATCATATATATAATTGAAAAAAATATTACCCTATTAGGTTGAGGTTCTTACCGATCGCCCAAAGAAAACATGCCAGTAGTTTTTATTATCCCACCATCTAAAGATATGGCTCCATCACTTATACAAGGAAGAGCCTGTAACATGTCTGCCCTTGAACTGTACACTTGAAGATGGGAGAAGAGATTATAGAAAAGAGTCTCCCTAAGGCCATGCCCATCGGCTGTGACACAAAATAAGTTGAAATTATCAATGTTAACCATATTCACAGCAAACCCAAGAAATCCACGTGGAGTCTCGCCATTGGGTAATCTTGGCTTGAAAAGATCAAGCTGCATCTGGGGGTCCTCAGCTACAAACTCGCCATGGAATCGTCTGACAAGAAAAATAAATGTTTTATAATATCAACAAACTAGAACTCCAGATTGCACAAGAAAAAGATGATACATGGGACCACATACCTTAAATTTTCAAGACAAATGACTTGAAAACGGCCATCCAAATGCCTCCCTATGGAAGTTCCAAGCCCATGAAGACCAGAACTTTTACTTACAGAACCATCATTTTCGTATGTTTCCAGAGCTTTAACACCATCATAAGTCTTGCAGACAACTGCCAACATAGTTTCTATACCCAAGTACTCCGAGAGAAGCCTGACTCCAGAGTTGGAAAAACAGAACATGTCAAGTATACTATAGATCACTAATAACTGTAAGACTCTGACTACACCTTAATCAACATGCTGTAGGAAGTCTACCATCCATGAGCCAGTAAAGGTAGCAAACCATCTTAACATCAGAACTGCCAAGACATCAATGTAACAACTACACTCATTGCACCCATCCAAAAACACACACGTCCATGCAAACTTCAAATGAACCTAATAATATACTAAACATTTACCAGATTACAGCTATTCAATCACTAGAGCTATATATCATTAGGATGGGACAATTAATTCTTTACCATGTCCATGTCAAAATAGCTGAAAAATGATCGAACACAGTTAAATAAGAAGCAATGACAATAGTACAAAGTAAACAATTAAAAACACAGAAGACTGCAATTTCAAACCAACCTGCTGAGATTGTCATCATCCACTTTCCCAAGTGTAGCAACAATACCCAACACATCCTTGGTCAACAGAAGATTAGAAGCCTCATTGCCATGGCGAGTTTTCAGCAAGCACAAAATGCCAGCTGCGGATTTCTCGTGCCCTATTATATGTTCTAATGGTTCCTCCTCACTGTCCACACCAGTATGATCCTCATCTTCCATCATGGGCATACTTGATGAATGATATTTCCCAAGATTAACTGAGATAATAATTATCAGGAAAAAATATAAGCGAATGACACAAGTAAATCATACATTATCGCAAGAGAATCAAGATCCTAACTTCTTCAAACTCAAAATTATTAAAGTTTGAATGCAGATCTTACTAACATAATAACTTAATTCCATGTAATCGTAATAAAAAAGCATGAAGTTGATCTTCGGTGTGAACAAGGGGTACAACAGAAATTGGAGAAATTTAATGAGTTATGCTCATTAGAAATGCATTATTGACGAAAACCAATCACACTCACGGAGCACACTATGTGGCCTCTGCTTATGGGCTTAGGACACATAATTTTTGCTAATTGGCACTTGAATGCTGCATCTTCCCTTTTGCTATGACAACATATACCAATCAAGCTAATTTCTGGCAGTTTCTTTTTTTTTCTTTTTTTTTTTTTCCAAAAACGTAATATCCTAAAACATTTAATTAGAAAATTAGACAGTAAATTTTACAAAGACGGTGACCCAAACTAAAAATTAGAAAATAATATACCTTGCATGTCGAGAATCGAGTCATCCAAGCTGTTTTTCTGAGCCTTCATATTTTTTACATTGTCTTCATGCTCTTTTATTTTTAGGCCTATCATTTGTAGATCATCCTGGAGCTTCTGCAGGAATTAAAGCAACACAAAGTTACTCCAATTGACCAACCCCCACTTATAATGTATATAAACAGTTTAACAGGATATATGCACCATGAACAACTTTGTCATAACCAGGATGAGAACTAAAACACGAGATCCATTGACCATAACATTATGACTCAACTTCAAATAATCCTTAACAACCTTAGAAGTAAATGAAACTGTTTCTCCCTGACAGAATGCTCCATTTTGCACTTCATCCCTTGGAGTTAGACAGGAATCATTCTGACCAACTTGCTTCAGTGCTGATGAATCTTGGATGGATAAAGCATTTGTATGGACCGTAAGCTGAAAGAAACAAATCATCAGATATCTACAAATATCATTTCCAAGAAAATATTGTCACGCCCCGAAAATTTACACAATATAGATCCACTACCTCCATTGTTTAATGTAAACGGAAACCAAAACTCAATATTAACATTATCCTCAAATCTCCAACATTTGTATTCATTAACCATTAAGAGATATACAAAAGAATGTTTCACATGCGGTTATATATTCAACATTTCTAAAATATGAATCTATAGCATGTAGCAAAGAAGTTTAGCACGAATTAATACCCTCACGGGCTATAAATTCCAAGGCTTAAGCCCGGTTACACAAAAGTGATTTCAAACCCATACACATAAAGCCCTTGCCTTGTCAAAAATAGTTGCAACAACGAAAAGAGCCTTGTGCTCTCAAAACATATCTCCACGCCTCTAACTTGGTAGGATCGCCACATCCTTTCTCATACAAAATCCAATAAGAGTGAGCACAAATCCCAATAGGAAAATCTTAACAAAGTATATACATTTTATACAATCTCATGGGATGAATGCATATGCCAAACCACGTTCAAAAACATATATCTTTATCCTTTGAAACTTTTGTGCACAATGCAATCTTGAAAATTTAATAATAAAATAATTTCAATGTAGTTCAACGGAGAGGTAAATACAACTCAGGTAATCCCTAGGTTGGTATCTGCAAGTAGGCATAACAAGCACTATCAAATCCTCACTTTACCAGTAGCTAACCCGAAGGCACGTGGTATCTTCTCCGCGCGTGTTTTCGGTCTTTCACCGTGAACACTCTGGCTAACTTAACCAATACCAACTGAACCAATACCAACTGCACCCCTATCCGGACTTACCAACGTATTTACTCCAAAAACAAATCAATGTAATCTTATTTCACAAAACAATTTCCTTTTTCCAATGCAACAATTAAAATCAACCGCATCAATGCTAAAATGACATGGCGATGCAAAAATGTCCAATCATAATCCATTTTCAATTTCCCCCACACAATTCTCCATTTGTGATCACTTTCCACATCTATTATCAATGCAATATCGTATCACATTACAAGAGACAAAATAATACAACATTACCCTTCAAGCATTTTTCATATATTAATCATCATAATATAATTCTAAAGGATGATATAACAACCACAACATTCATGTATTCTCCACATGTTAATATCTATTTTTCCACTTGGTCATTTCAAGACCAACCAATAATAAGCTATACAACAAGCTTCAATTTAACCATTTCTCATTTTCTTTCCATGTGATTTCCTCTTTATACACAATCATAGGAATATCTCAATCACGTAATACAAAACAACCATAGATTTCTTAACCTCTTATCATTTTCCAAAAAAAAAAAAACCCCAATACCTAGGGTTTCCACAAAACTACGTTTTTCTTCATTTTTGAAAGGATTTTTCCAAGACAACATCCCTCCTTAACAATATAGTTCATATCCTCAAGAGTTTAGAAAAACATTGAGAAAACCCACTTTTAAAATCAACATCAAGAACTCATGAGCCAAAATCAAAGTTCAATACTATAAGAGGAAGTTCCAAAATCAACATTAACTTGCAAAAATGTACATATAGCTCTAAGAGAATCCCTACCTCAAGTTTGGAAGAGGAAGGAAAGAAAAACCCTAAAAATAGATGTTGATGAAAACTCGATTTAATCGGTGAGAACGTAGCCCTCATTGCTCTCTTCGATTCAGTGTAAGAAGCCCTCTCAAATTCTTGATAGATCTTGCTATATCTTAGAGAGAAGATTGAAATTTGGTGGTTTGTAGAGAGAAAGGAGAGCAAAAATGGATATATATATACACAGAAAGAACTTAAAAAGTGGTCAAAACACCCTTTTGGCTTCAGTTTTGGGAAAAAAAGAGCACGAAATTCGATAGTGACGCACCGAATCTGCTCGTGCGGTTCCAATTTCGCACGAGCGGTTTGGTATTGCTCTTCACGAGCAAAATGACCTAGAGGCGGCCCAAAAAATCCACCCAAATCCGCTCAAGCGGTTCCTAATTCCGCAAAAAACCCCCTCCACTGAGTGGTTCCACTCAAGCGATTCCACCAATCCGCACAAGCGGTTTTGCCAGGCAGCCCAGAAAATGATTTTACACCCCAAGGCAAGTTCTAACCCACAAAACTCAAAATTTTGAACTCGGAAACATTAAAAGAGGTTAAGTAAGAGTAGAAAGAAATTTCAACGACTCAAAATAATGAACAAAACATCGAAAGAAGTACATACTACTCCACTATGCAAAACAATTCAAACCTAAAACCACGGTATATCACAACCTTCCCCCCTTAGGAAATTTCGCCCCCGAAATTTGGTTACACCTCTTACCAACACGTCCAAAGAACAAGAACAAAACAACAAGGCTCTGAGTGGTAACAACCACACTAATGACAAAAAGAATCCACAATGACAACAATTCAATTATAACATGAAGATCTTAATCTCAATAACATTTTACTATCATTATCAAAATCTTTCTGTGGGCCAAGGCCACAATCGAACAACTACTAATATGATAATCACAAGCACGAGTTCAACAACAATTGTAACAATCCTACAATAGTTCTCATGCTTAAAAGACAACAACAATTACAACAAGAAATGGTTTACAATATCAACTATTTATTCTCAAACATAAGAGTGATTACAATCTAGAACAACTAAGCGTTCTTAAACAAATCCGAATACTTGGAGCAGACTTCCTCCTCTCATTAAGAGTCCATGTAACATAGCCTACAATAGTTCTCATGCTTAAAAGACAACAACAATTACAACAAGAAATGGTTTACAATATCAACTATTTATTCTCAAACATAAGAGTGATTACAATCTAGAACAACTAAGCGTTCTTAAACAAATCCGAATACTTGGAGCAGACTTCCTCCTCTCATTCCCAAGTTGCCTCCTCAACTCCATGGTGCCTCCACAACACCTTCACTCAACACTTGTTCTCGAGCATCTAAAATTTGAACTGGCCGCTCTTCATATGAGACATCCTCATCTACCTCCAAATCAACCCAATCAAGCACATGGGAAGGGTCGGGTTCATACTTTCTAAGCATAGATATATGGAACACGTTGTGAACCCCCGAAACCTGTGGTAGTAAGGTCAAACGGTATGTCACTTCTCCAACTCAATCTAAAATCTCAAAAGGTCCAATAAACCTAGGAGACAATTTACCACTCTTACCAAATCTCATCAAATCCCGCCTCAGTGAGATTTTAAGAAACACATGGTTACCAACCTCGAAAGATAGAGGTTGTCTTCTCTTATCAGCATAACTCTTCTGTTGGCTTTGAGTCATAACTAAACTCTTTCGAATGAGAACAACTTTCTCGATCGTCTCTCTAACAGTCTCCGGGCCCAACATCGGTGCATCACCCACCTCAGCCCAACAAACCGGTGATCTACAAGGTCGGTCCTACAAGGCCTCAAACGGTGCCATCTCAATACTAGCTTGATAGCTATCTATAGGCGAACTCAATCAACGATAGGTGCCTCTCCCAAGACGCCTTGAAATCAAGGACACAAGCTCTAAGGATGTTCTCCAAAATCTGAATGGCGCGCTCTGACTGCCCATCGGTCTAAGGCTGATAAGCGATGCTAAAGGTCGACTTAGTTCCCAAGGCTTTGCCACAACCGGACAGTAAAATGAGGATCTCTATCTGAGACAATGGTCACAGGGACCCCATGAAGTCGAACTATCTCCCTAATATATAACTCGGACAAATGCTCAATTGAGTTACCAGTGCGCATCAGAATGGAGTGTGTAGACGTAGTCAACCTATCGACAATCACCCAAACGACATTATTGCCCCGTTGTGTTCTAAGAAGCCCAACTACAAAATCCATGGTAATATGCTCCCATTTCCACTCAGCTATCGATAAGGGTTGTAGCAAACTTGCTGGCTTTTGATGCTCGGCTTTCACTTGTTGACAAGTAAGGCATTTCAAAACAAATAAAGCGATATCACGCTTCATACCCCTCCACCAAAACTGGCGACTAAGATCATGATACATTTTTGTGCCTCCCCGATGTACCGTAAGGCATGAGTGACGAAACTCTCGGAGAACCTCTTCTTTACAAGATTCCGGCACAAACAAATGGTTTACACTAAAATCTGAGTGTATGTTCAAACCCTTCTCTTCCTTCCCGTTGGAGATCCTATCACGGATTGTCTCCACCTCACGGTCACCCTATTGTGCCTCGATGACTCTACTAGTCAAGGTAGGTTGAGCAATCACGATAAACAAGGTAGCACCCACGCTAGACTCGCCCAATTGCAAATCAAACACACTGATATCGCCTAGCATATCCCATTCCCGAATGGCCACGCTTGCCAAACTACTCACGGATTTTTGACTCAAGGCATCGGCTACTACATTGGCCTCCCCCGGATGATAGTGTAACTCGAAGTCATAATCTTTCATAAATTTCATTCATCTCCATTGACGTAAATTTAAGTCTTTCTAGGAAAACAAACATTTTAGACTCTTATGATCAGAGAAAATATCAAACTTTTCACCATACAAATAATGCCTCCAAATTATCAAAGAAAAAATTACCGCTGCTAACTCTACGTCATAGGTGGGGTAGTTCTTCTCATGAGTTTTCAATTGTCGTGAACCATAGGCCACAACCTTCCCTTCATGCATCAATACGCAACCAAATCCATCCTTGGACGCATCATTATACACGGTATAACCTAAACCTCTTTCTAGAAATATCAAAACCGATGCAGTGGTCAACCTAGTCTTAAGTTTTTGGAATAACTTCTCGCAAGTCTCGTTCCATACGAATTTGACACCCTTCCTTGTCAACTTGGTCAACGGTGCGCTAGTTTAGAGAAGTCCCTTACAAAATGACGATTATACCCGGCTAACCCCAAGAAACTCTAGATTTCAAAAATATTTCTAAGTTGTTCCTAATCTTGTACGGCATCTATCTTAGAAGAGTCTACAGTTACT